CACTTATGAAAGGAAAATCTGCTAAGCTATATGGACAAAGGAGGACAAAGCAATTTAAGGGGAGATGGTAAAACCTGGACTTCAGAATTCAAGGTAGAATGAGAGAAGATCACCAACAACCTCGCTGAACACAGGAAGGATGACAATTAAATAGAGGTACAGAATTGAATTGAAATGAAGGACAGAGAAGTAGCATTGAGAATTATGTAGTTATGCTTTATGGCAGTTTAATAAAAACTCACATACACTCATTGTCTTTTCACACCGCAAAATTACAGAATCAAGTGGATCTGATCGTTTTAGCCATAAGAAAAGAATAGTATGACTCAAACTAGTGCTCTCTGTAAGCAGAGCACTCTCGAAGGGAGGGAGGAAAAAACAGTCTTGCTAATTTTTAACACATGGCAGAAAGGTGTGACAGGTCCTGACAAGCAGAACAGCACAGGGTACAGTGACATGAAAAAAAAAAAATTAAATTAAGACTTTCAGAATTAAAAAATGTGTGTTTCCAGACCAAAAGGAAAAAAAAATCCTCACAACCTCTAAATGTAGTTAATTTGTGAAGTTCAGAAACAGCCAATGCCTTTGGCCTAGAGCTGTGCCTTAAAGAAAGGAACAGCTCAGCTCTTCATTCAGGTGCTGATTTCTCCAGTTCATGGCTGATTGTGCAATATTTGTTTCAGCTCTCCCAGGGCAGGTGAACAGATCAGTGAGCCACCAGTGCCAGGCATTGTTCAAGTTCACTCAATCCCATCAACTACCTCAGAGTCACATTAACCATCAAAGATATGCAGAATTCAGGCAGTTGGTTAACACAGGCAGATAATGCAACAGATAAAAATGGCTTTAGGCATTGCTGCTCTTGATCTAAAGCCAAGCTACAGAATATGCCAAAAATCTGCTTTAGAGATGCAAAATAGTGAGAATTGCTCATTGAAGAAATGCAAATGGTATATTCATGTTCTCTCACAGCCCAGGTATCCTACCTGTTTGAGCCAAAGGATTGTAATTTCATAACAAATAGAAAGGTGTTCATTGTGACACTGCTACTGATTCACCTCCTATTGAGCCAGAGAATAGGAAAGGAAATAATGTTCTTTATTTCTATTGCCCACATTCTTCCTCCAGCTGTTGTATTCTCACTGAGGTAGGAGACAGTGCTATTTTTAACCTCTTTATGTTACTCAGTGTCTGCAAGATCATTCCAGATCCAGCGATTTTCCTTCAGCATGCCCAGATGCTGGAAGCATCCAGCAGCAAGACAACCAGGGAGCAGATACAACTGACATCCCCCTCTCCTTGAAATGAAAACCTTTGGGAGCTTCCAGAGGCTAACACTCTAGAAATTAAACAACAGAATAAATGTGAGGCAGAGTGAAAGACTGCACAGTGTCTGTGGGTTGGGAAATAATTTCCTGGGCTACTCCAAACTTAGAAAGTTGTTTTATAGAACACTAGTATGTAAGGTTGGAGCTCCTCCAGAGGAACACAAAATATAATAAAAGAACACAAGATATAATAAATTTTAAAAGATAAATAAATACTATATATATATTATACATATAAATATTTTATATATTAATATTTATAAATATTTAGAAATAAAATAAGATATGAAGGCATGATTTTTTTCAAAATTAAGGGAACTAGAATCTTGAATCTTCCTATTAATTAGCTACCAACAAAGCACACATGTTTTGTGGTTGGTAAATAAGCAACACCTGGCTTACTCTGGATAAATGGGATAGATGCAGGTTCTAGGAATAAACAAAACCAGTATGACGTCCCTGAGCTTTACAACTGCTCAAAGTAGGGATTTGAACTGAGCCTTATATTTCTTAAGCAGAACTTAAGAATTTCTAGTATAAATACACAGAGTCTCAAAAACTTGTATCTTCTGAGAGTGTCTGTTTGTAGAATTCATGTCAGGGGGACTTAGAGATGATGTAAAATGGTGGACAAGGTGACAGCAGTCATGCTTTAACAAAAACAACAATGTATTAGTGATTTGTATTTTGAGATCCAAAATTCTCCACTCTGAACATTTCCAAGGACAGAACAGTTCCACCCTACAAACCTTATTTTTAAAAAGTGTTCCAGATAAGAGAATAGAAATTAACTTGCTCTTTAAAGCACAATTAATCTATGATTAGACACAAAGGAAATTAGACACAAAGGCTGCTGCTGTTAACTCAGGTGTGTTCCAGTACCTGAACCTGGGGCAAGCTCTTCATGCTTTTAGATGGAGACCCAGGTTTCTTTAAAGAATAACTTGTTGGGAAGATCCCAGAGGCATCTGATAGCTTTGGCTCTGCTGTTCAGTAACCAGGCTTCAAGTCAGAGTATGGCAGTTTGCAATTAAGAGTAACACAAAAGAAGAAGAACCTCACGGATTAATTAGAACCTGGGAGATTTCTCTTGGTGGGCAAAGCTGGAGACTTTTCCTACTTTTAGATCTCTAGTAACAACAACAGCAGACTGAAGCCTACAATATCAGGGCCCACTGGGAACACTGATCTTTAAATTTGACTCCCAGGAACAATAAGCAGGACGAGGATTAAGAATAAAATTTCTGCAAATATATCGAGACTGCATAAAGTCAAAAATCCAGGTCAGGAGAATTGCAAAACAATGGAAAGTGCAAGTCTGCAAATTAGAATTTCAGGAACAAACCAAAAAAGCTCACTGCTTCACAGGCATTTCTCAACCTTCTGCTTTTTTTTTTTCTTAATTTTTTTTTGGTGCCCCTCCACCTACTCTGTTTTATCAGACTGATTAAAGCCAGGCCAGAACTTCAAATACAGAACAAAACTTCATTCAAACATCCCTAAACATCTTCCAAGGCTAGAAAATTGAATGGCATGATTATTCTGAGGACAGCAGAGTGATGTTCTTTTAAGAACAGAAGTCCACCCTGACACTGGTCAGTAGATTTGTGACCAGGCCAACTTTTCTCAAAGTTGTGTCAGAACTATTGAGGGGCTCTGGACCAAACTGATCTATTTGTCCACCAGAAACAGCTGGATGTGTTCCCTTTTCTCCTTCAGGCCTTTGAATAAGAGTTCTGTAAGACCCAACATGAACCCAGAAGGTTACACCTCACACAGACATCCCACATATTTTCTATACCTGTAACATGGAAAATGTGCTGGCTCTGATGGAAACTGAGTTAATTTTGCCCACGCCAGCCCTCTCAGTGCTGTGTGCTGGTAACACATCAGTGCTGCCACAGCACCAAGGCTGTCTCTCCAACATCCCCCATCTCCAGAAGGCTGAGGGTGGGCAAGGTCTTGGAGTGGCAGTCAGGGCAGCTGGTCCAAACTGACCAAAGGACTGTTCCTTTGCTTTTAATAAATCACCTTGATCTTGACCCATGAGTTTTTTCTACCTTCCCTTTCTCCCACCACCCTGTCCTTCTGAGGAGTGACAGAACCCAGCCAAGGCCAGGCCACCACAAGTACCAGACTGAAAAAGGACCATAAATTCCCCTGAATTTAGAACGTGGCAGTAACAGGTTTGTGTTGCTTAGAACAGATCATAAAGACTCTTCAGTCTTCTCAGGTCCTCTTTATTACTTGCTTGATTGTCATTTAATAGCTCATACTGAGAGCTGTTGGGCACTAAAGTGTAACACAATATAAACAAAATAGTTGAAGAGCTTTCTGAAAAGACTACAGACTGTTTAGCTGAATTTAGTCTAATTAAAAAAGTCTTAATTTACATCCATAGAAGCCATATAAGCAAGAAATATGATAGGTCTTAGCACTAATTTCCATAAAACAAGCATACTGGATCAACTTGCCTTTCTGGTTTTTTGGCATCTGACTGCAGAATTACATTAACTGATTGATATCAGAACAAAAACAACTTTCTATTTATCATTTTATTGAGTTAGGTTAACTGCTACTCAGGTACTGTTAAAGCTATAATTTAATAAATTCCATTGTAAGGATTATCAGATTTCAGAAGAGCCCTATAACAGGTGGTGTGATGAGCAGGTACACATCCCACCACCAAGCAGCAGGTTGTTTGGCAGAATTCCTCAGCTAAAAAGACTGCAATAATCTCTACTTTGAAGCAAGTGTGTTTTGCAGTGAAAAAAGTTCAAAAGGTTGTCAAAAAGTTGACAAAGAGCAATAATCCTAAAACTGTGTTTTGTTCAGATACCTGCAGGAAACACCTCCATGACAGATCAAGCCAATTGACCTTGCCTTTCCAGAAACCTCTTGCACATTGAAATAAGTGAGAGAGGAAATGTCAAGGATGTGGAAACAATAAGGCTGATTTTGCTGTATATTGTTGATAGGAATACAAATTCAGTTTTCAAGTTTATAAAGGAATATCTGCCAATAGTGTTGACAAATTAACTAACTGCCATAACAAGTTATTCATGTATATATGTATATATTATCTTTGGATAAGTAGAACATATGCACAAACTCTCTCTAAAGAACACTGACCCTAATAACAGAAAATCATATAAAACCAACATCTTATAGATCAGAGAAAAACTACTTCACAGAATATTCCTGACACTTTATTTTAGAGGCAGACATAGAGAGAAACATCAGCTGAACTGCAGGCCAGTTCATCAGTGGTTACAACTCATACATTCCCTATGGCTTACAGTTTCTTAATTATTAAAAGCAGATAAACTATAGCTGTAGCCAATCCTTTGCAGCTTTTCACATGACTTAGGCTACATAAAAAAGGCATTCTCCCTTAGATTACAGACATTAGCCAAACCTATATACTTATTTGCAAAAGAGTATCACTGTTGTAATTAGATCTGGTTTTCTGAACAGAGAAAATAAAAGGAAGAAAAGAAGTTCAATCAAAGCTCCCATTCAGTGCAAGGATTAAAAATAAAGGAAAAGAATACACTGGTTATTGCTTTGCCTCCCTCAGCCCCACTGTGAAATTTTCATATCCTTTTAAAGATGTATCCGGAACTCTGTCAAAGAAAAACCCAGAAATACAGACAAGAAAAAAGTACTCACACTGTTTGGGTGTTGAATGGCAACTTCGTGCTGCAGCCTAACCCGCTGTGGCATCATCACATCATCCTGGAATAAATAGCACTCTGTTACTGAACATAAAAAGGGTCACAGTACAGTACTGACACACATTAGAATATGTTGCTAAATTAACATCATTTTACTGGCTTGCAGTCAGAAATGCAAATGGAACAGATATTAAGAGACCTCACACTTTTTGTGGATTAAACTCAAGCTGGAAGTGATCAAAACTACTACGTGACGATGGTGCTGTGATCTCAACACGCATCCACAGGCACCCACACATTTAACATTTATTTCTCAAGAAACTCTCCAACTCTTTCACAGCTCCCAGAGCAGCACTGAGTGTGAGGACAAGGAACTACCCTCAGTTAAAGCCAGGAGATGTGAGACACAGCACTATGAGGAAAATGTTCTCTGCAATCTGGCTGTACCTTGTTCCACTGAAAATGAAAAGCCTTTGGTCTCTAGATCTAAAAATATGTCATATTTCATGGGTACAATATCTAGGACTTGTGAAATGAGAAAATTCTAAGGAAAAGGAAAAAAGGGAAGTACCCACACTCATAAAATTCATTAGCATTGACACTGGCTTTAAAACACACCACCTAGATTTAAATTTTGTGTTAATTCTTCTTCTACTTGTAGCATAAAGATCTGTTTTGTTTACATACAACAAGATAGGTTGTTTTGTGAAAAGCCAGTAACTTTGCTATTCTGCCTTGAACTGTTAGGAGAGATTCCTTTCAAAATTATATTATTTCCTGTTCAAAATTAAATCCTTTCTAACCAGTGACTTTACAGTCTATAGAAACTGTAGCACAATTTTTCTTCCCTAAATTTAGGCCCCTGAGGTTTCTACCTATACTCTTTTCCATGCTGGTGCCATATTTCCCCCCTTTTAAAGAATGAGTCTTTTTTAGATGCTGGTTAGAGTTAACACAGCCTATTTCTTCTCAGAGTATTCCCAAATAAACTTAATCAGGCAAACATAATTCAAAGGAGCCCTGAATTCCTGTTCTACAGACAGTCCATTAACAGTTCCTCACACTGAAATCATTCTGAGATTCCTATTAAAGCACAAACCCTCAATATTGAATTTACAACCAGTTTAAAACTTCCCATCAAGTCAACAGCAACAAAAAATATATTAGTGCTTAAATATCTACAGCTTGAAGAGTTGAATGACCTTCTATAAAGGTGCCACTACAGTTTTATCAAAACAATGCAGGATAAAAAGTTTCAGAAGTAGGTCCAACTATTTAATACAATTCAAGGTTAAGAAAGATAAAACAATAATAAAACTGACTCCTATCACATGTAAGTTTATAAAATATGGGAGGACTACGTTGTCAAAAGCATTTTTCCATATTTTGCATTTAGGATATATTTAGTAATAAGCATGACAGCTGTTCCTGATTTTCAAATCCAATAGAGCAAAAAACCCTTCTGATTTCTCATGAGTTCAAAACTACAGTGATATTATTTACCACCTAATCCACTTCATCAACAGAGCACCAGAATTCCAGTATCAAGTAAGTGTTCCAATAAAACCTTTACCCTATTTCTCACAAGAAGAACCATAATCCTATTTCTTTAGGCCAAATACAGAATTGATTTTTGTAAATTAAAATCTGGTTTTCATACAAGCAATAGCAGATATATTTTAACTCAACTTTACCCACTACTTTACAAGTTGCTAAGGATCCTTAGATGTTTTCTGAACATCATTTTCCGTTTCCAGAAAAAAAAAAGAAAAAAGAGAGAGAAAAAAATCCACCAAAAAGCCAGGAATTTCAATGCTCAGAACAATGTTACCCTCATCTTTTACAAGATACAACATGTGCTCTTGTGCTAAAAGATCTCACTGTTCATGATCCCACACAGCAGAGAGAATTCTTACATTCACAAAGATGAAAAATAATAATATACTTGATTAAAAAAGGTTAAATCAGCATGGAAAGTATTCAAACCAAATTGAAATAACCTATGCACCAAAGAGGTCGATGTCATGTTTTCATAACCACCCAATTTGACAGGAATGGCCCCGTTCCCCTAAGAAAACACTGTGTCAGTTTGATGCTGTTGGCAAAACTCACACATCTCCAGATCTGGGGCTTAGGCTATCAGAGAGCATCAGGATTCTGTAAACTCCAGCTAAAGAGAGGGCACTGTAACCACAAAAACTTCTAAATGCCTCTTTTTATTAATACAGCTTTGTTCTCTAATGCTGGAAAACTCTATGAACTCTTACCCTGGATGACCTTTATTTCTTTTAATAATTCTGTCTCGTTTTTTTATTAGTAGCTTTACACACACACCGCTGCACTGTTCTGTGAGAGCTTCCAATTTCATGAAAGGAGAAAAAAACATGGGAAAAAAAGGAATGTAACAGTTTAGGATATAATCCCAAATACTGTAACAAAGCAATTGGATGATGAGGAAGAACAGCACAAAATATAAATCACACCCCAGACAGAAATGAGATACAAGCATCATTCAGCTTTCTTGGATTCAGGTTGGTACCAGAAAAGTAACTGCAAAATCCAACTTCCACAGATTCTTCACTGTGGATGACTGGAAAGGTGACCATGGAGTGGAAAACAGAATGTATTTATAGTGAAATAATCATGGATTTAAGACTGATATTTAGAAACCAAAATAAATTCTAATGAGTAAAACCAAAACTATTGTACCACAAATCAAGAGCACCTTAAAAAAGGATGGAATTTCAGCAACTATAGTATTAAACAACTAAGGTAGTAAAATATTTTACACAACTGTATGTGATGCAATCACAAATTTTCTATCCAAGCTGTTGCACTTATTCAATTCAGCAAATGTGTTGCCACACTTCAGTTTCTACAGGCTGAGTTTGGTCATCTCGTTTTTTTGGGTTTTTTTGTTTGTTTGTTTGTTTAAAACTGAGAACAAAACCTCAGTAATCAGGCAAACACTTTCCAAATTATTTTTCACTCATTTCAGACAGAAAAAAAAAAGGGCCTATATAAAAAAGTGAAGTATATTTCGTTTGTTTCTGTTTCCTAGGTGAGGGAAGGGAAGATAACAATAGTAGCAGTGACTTACACTGAAAAATATTTTTAACAAAACTGAAATTTAGAATGAAATCCAAATTTCTCTGTTCACATGGAAGTCTCTAATGGTCCCCTAGCAGATATACAGCTGACAGGATGAAATTTCCCCCATAGAAAGAATGGACAAAAGAAAAGAAATTTGAAATAAATGCTAAATAAATGCATGCCTTCCCTACTCATATACTTGGAATACAAAAGCTGGCCTCTTCAACCAGCCTGTGGGGACCACATTGGTCTCCACACAGTGGTAACTTCATCATTTTCCCTTCAAACTGGTGCTTCTGCACTTCAGAAAGTAAAACAAAATATGCAATTCACATCACAATACACATCCACTTTTTGCAACCAAGGGCAAGTTCACAGAAAACAAAACACTAATTATAGCTCAGTATTGAGGTGCTTCCTTAATCTCACATTACAGACCCAGCATTTTGTGCTTTTCCAAAGTCCTTCATATTTGGCTGCTCAAAATGAAAAAAAGGACTGAGAGCTGAAACACTCCCATAATAACAGCACCTTCTTTCCACTGCAGCTATTAAATGCAAAATACAACCAGCAGCAACAGCGGGAGGAATGTTTCACTCATTGAGCAACAATATGGCATCTCCAAAATCTTTCAATTCATCAAATGGTCCATTCATTTATCCTGCACCTGCTCAGACTAGAGGGAAAATCTTTCTTTGCTATTGTTCAGTTCAACTCCTTGAACCAGGGAAGTGAAATGCCTGGGACCTCCAAAAACTGGTCTGTCAACAGCTCTACTGAAGGAAATACCCTGATTCCAGGCAATTCTCCAGGGGATGGTTTTTTACCAGCCCCACACTATCACACTCATTCAGGCACTCAATTGGCACCCACAAATCACCTGAGAATAATGATCTGTCAGTACTCGCAAGATCATAAGGAAAAAAATGCAACCTTTCTGTTTCTACTCCCAAATTAAACTGAGAAAGAAGGGGACAACAAAGGAGACACTTCAAATTTAAGAAGCTGGCTGCATGGAGCACCTTTCTTTTTTTTGAACATAGCAACAAGCATAGACCTGGGTGGTGTTCTTATGAGCCTGACGATCTTTTTATGGAATCTTTTAATTAAGCATCGCTATTAGTTGGTCAGGAAACCTTTGCTGTAGAAGCAGCTTTCACTTCAGTGCATTTATTCAGCAAATCCAGACAAATGCCTTTCCATATCTTGCTTTTCTGTGGTCACTGGAGATCACCTTTGATTTTTTTCTCATACTCAGATCACTGAAAAAAATTATGTGTCAGCAGTCAAGTGAAGCAGGGAACTCACAAGGTGTTCAGCAGCAAAGCCAGTAAACCCAGACAAGAGTAAAAGCTTCACCAGCAACTCCAATTCCCCTCTTTAACTACTGAATAGATGAAGACACATGTAGGGAGAGGTTATGGCAACCAAATTCTGAAGGTCTGCCTCTTCATTTAACATTTCATACCAGAGAGAGGCATTTAATCTGGTTTTAATACAAGCACATCTTTACAAACAATGATAGGAATGATGCCTTTAAGCACCCATATTTTGAATTTTTGGGGCTCATTAGTGATTAGGAAACATGGACAACTCTTCTGGTAATGGGGTTCACCACTACATCCACACACCTGATATTTGTGTGTAATAACAGCTTATTTCAGTTTTTAAATCAGAGGATAAGTTCCAAAGGAACAGTATGTTAAACAACAACAGAAAGGAATTACATGAACTCTGATCACATCTCCATTTCCTAAGAAATAATTTGAATTTTCCTAAGACTAATTTGAAAGAAAGGAGGAATAATTCAGAAGTTTATTAGTGCCTGTAATGTATAATGGCAACTAAGAGGAAATCCATACTTCCAAACCCAGGAAGAGGCTGGAAAAACAAGCTGTTTATAACTGAATGTGCCTGACACATCTACCAGGTCTGCCTAGAGAAATTCCAACCACCTTCCTCCAAGGCCTTCAGCAATACCCCCTCAACGATGTGGGCTTGAACTTGAACCTCAAGGAACACATGCAATTTGAAATTAAGCAATTATGCACACAGCAATTAAGAACCATTCCCAACTTAAATCATACAAACAAATCTCCCAAAGCAAAAGGCACAGGTCAGCAGCTACCAATTCCATCACAGAAATGACAAATCTGGTGTGGTTCACCCTCATTTTTGGTGAATAAAACTTATCAGTGTCACCATGGCATTTTTGATTATTAGCAGGCAGTGACACTGTGGCAACATGGCTTAAAGTCATATCTTTGAACTGCCTGAGAATCTCTGAAATTGTGATACATTGCCAACAGAGCTTTTCAAAAGATTAAAACAAGCACGTTAAGTTCTCAAGTGATTATGACTGGGTTTGAAACACTGCAGGTCAAAAAAGGACACATTTTTATGTTTTTTCTTTAACAGTCAGGAGTTCTCCAACACACTGAATAAACCTGAAACAATTGGAAAAGACACAGATTGTTAGGGTGAAATGAAAGCGTGATTCTTTTTAAAGAAATACAGTTTCAGACAAGTAGAGGCATGTTTATGTGCATGTCAATGAAAACAGCAGTTCAAAGCAGAATTTTTAGTGTAAGAGCTGTGTTACAAGTGGGTAAATGCCTCTAACAAAAATGGCACCACCCCAGAGAAGTGACAAACTACAGCTACAGCACAATGAAACTGGCAGATAAAGTCATAACTGCAGACAATTTAAAGAAGAAAAGCTAACAGTGAAATATATTTGCAAAATTAGCTCTCATTTTTCCACACTGTAAATGTTACATATGAAAACATTGTTAAGTAGCTTCAATTTTTCTACTTATTTTCCCAGAGGGGAAAAAATGCCTCAGTAGCTTGGAGGTGAAATATGTAACAACCAGAGTAAAAAAACTCCACAATAGCTGTTTGTCAAACAGCTGCCACTTCATACTATAAAAGGCTGATCAAATTCTGACAGTTCTGAGATCTGTAACCTTTTTTTTTCCACATTTCTCCCCAGTTTGTTGTCCTCAGAAATCTGTGTTGAGAGACATAACACAAGCAGCTTGACTCCAGCTGGAAGGGCAAGCAAAAACAGTCTTGCTGGAGCCAGCCCTTCCAAAGACGCTCCCAAATTTGCTCATCCACTCATTTCCCTTCACAGAGAAAACAAAGGAAGGCACAAAAAGCCACGGATGTATTTCTCCACCTCTTTGTAACGTGCACAAACTACATCCCCAGCCCCATTCCTCTCCACATCCACCTGTAGCAAACCTGAAATTGTGGCTGCACTTCTGAAGGTCAATTCCTTGGCATTACTGCAGCACATTCCAAAAGGCTGATATCAACATTCCTTCCTAGAGAGCTGGATACTGGACTGGTGACTGAAATGAAGAAGGTAGGTGGTGTGTGGAAGCAGAGTTGTTAAACAGCTGGCAACATCTGTGTCCCAGCTATTATCACATGACATTTACTAACTACCAAAACACTGAGCAATTTTTGGACTTGTGGCAGTTTCCACTTTATTTGCTCTGATCAGTTTTCAGCAAAAAATTATAGTCACAAGGAGAGACAGGAGAAAATACATCTAAGTAATGCCAGGCATTTAATATTTTTTTTGTAGCAAGATTACGCTTCTGGTAGTCCAGAATGCCTCTGTTTTGAGGAAGTAACAGAAATGTACAGAACAGAAAATTTTGGTAACTTCTCCTAAGGTCATTCACACTGTAAACCATAAAATCCTCAACTCACTTCGAGTAATTCTTGATAATATTAAATATAAACTTCTGCTAATGATAATATTGCAGAAATACAGTATCATTACCAGTTATATTCCTTAATAATTATTTGCTTCCCTGATGTTTTGTTTTCATGCAATAATCAGCAAAGAAACAACACAGCAGCAGGAAGAGTTTAATATATGGTAAATAACAAACCAAGAATTCTGAAGAACCACTATGAAAATATGAATTAACTTCATTAAGAGAATTTGATCTTCTAGTTTATTGCTAGTAATTTTCAAACAACTAGATCTGTCTGGATTGAAAAGAAAGACTAACCCATAATTTACTTCAGTGCATCATGCTACTCATATTTGAGACAGAAGATATGAAGCTCCATGGGACAAGAGTAGATTAATTTCTCATTCATGTACTTGTGGACTCAGATAACTTCAGCCAGCTCAAGTACACACATTCCTCATCCTGCAGACTTCCTAGAATATTCTATGCAAAGTGGTATCTGTCCAAGCCTGGAATACCAAAACTTTGCAACTCAAAAGTAAGTTCCCTTTTTATTTTTTCCATTTTAGGTATGTGAACAGCCTCACTGATTAACAATATACCACAAAAATCACAACATTTTAACACATGAACAAAAAAAAATTTCTTCCATCTAGTTGATAATGCACTTGAAGTTTACAAACTGAAGGATTTTCCTAATTAAAACCTGAGAATGGCTGTAGAGTTCACATCCCTGCTCTCAAAACACTTTTTAACGAGCAAGACAATCATAATATTCAGTTGAATTGTATCTGAAAACCTACCCTGTCAGCAGCCAGTTCATCCTGTACTACCCTAACCCATAGTTCAGTTCTAATTCAGAGTGGAAAAAAATCAATCTTCAGGTGAAATTACAGGAGATCAGTGAGCCTTGAAGGTCCTGCTCTTCTTGCCTGATCCCAGCACAAGGCCCCACTCCTCTGCTCAGCTGGGCACCTTTGTGAAACCATTCCTGCATATTCAGCTGCACAAAGTGAGATCCTTATCTGGGGGTTAGTGAGCTGAATGGTTTCACAGAAGATATCCAACAAAGGACAGGAAAAAAAAAATTCAAGTTGGAAGGTGAGACCTCTCCTATTTTACATCAAAAAGCCAGTAGATTAGCTCTTAGTTTCTCATCAATACAATTTTCTGAAGAATGTGGGAAAGAAAAATCCTCAAAACACCTAAATACCAACCTTGCCCAGCCCTGTTCACAACAGCTTGTGAAATCTGATATAATCAAAGAATGATGTAAGGCTTTCTGCAGGTTGGAATAGAACTTTACAGCCATAAATAGTAACCAGCACATTTAACAACCGAACACCTTTAAGCAGCTTGTCTTTCAGCAAGTCAACAACTCCATTAAAAAGAAAAGGATTTATTGAAAAAACCAAGTTAGACAAAAAGCATTAACTTACTGAATCCAGAAAGCAGAGATAAGTTCCTGAGCTCTGAATTACTGCTTGATTTTTAGCAAATCCAACTGTTGAAAAAGCAAAGATAAAAATATGGAGGAGTTTTTACTGTTGCATCTTTTAAAATCTTAATAAAGTGAGGAACAAATAAGAGAAAATACAAAAATCAGTATCACACAAAGAACCAATTTTTTCCACATTTAAAGCAAGATAATTTGAGAATATTTAAATAGGATGCCTATGTCAGTCACCTTCTCTGACTGAATACCAGAACTATACAATCAAGTAGAATAAGATTCCTTTTGCCAGCCCTCCCCAAAGGACATAATATGTAATGTGTATCTTGATGAGGGCAGGTTTTATATCCATATTGTTTATATATTTATACTCAGCTTGTAGAATCACAGAATGCTTCGGGCCGGAAGGGATCTTTAAAGGTCATTTAGGCCAATCCCTCACAAAGAGCAGATGCTGAAAACCCTTGGCTGCACATACATTCATCTTTTTAAGTCCTCAAACATACCAGCAAATCATAAAAGATGCAGAGAAGGACCGGAAACGGCTGATCTTCACATCAGGGTTCTCAGAAGGACATAAAAATTTCTGTTCCTTGGTGCTTGTTAAATATAAACTTTGCAAATACAAAAACTTCATGTGCCATTTATGCAAAGGCAGGTGTAATGCAGAGGGGAGCCGAAGCTTTTTTATTAGACACACACACAAAGCACACAGGTGGCTTATTTCTACCATAACGTGGTAGAAATCATCAATGGAGAGCACACTGAAATGTCACTTCAGACAAATGACAACATTGGCACCTGGGGTCTCTTAGCTTCTGACCTCCTGACACTTGGTGAATCTTTTTACCAACACATTCATTTCAGGAAGCTGAACCAAGGAAGAAAATTCTTTTTGTCAGCCTTATTTCTGAAGCAGATGACTGTTCTGGAGGATCAAACAAATGGCAGAACCGGAAAAATAGGAAGGAGCAGGAATCCACAGTTGAAGGTAAGGATGGGACTGCAGCAGACATTGAAATACACCCACAAGGTGGGAATGCTTACCTGGGATCGTTTTTGCAGGCAGACAAGGTGTACCTAAGAACATTTTGCTCTCTGAGTTCTTGCCCTGGGCAGCATTTTAAGAAAAGACCACACTATATCCAGTGGTAATCTGAAAAATTCTGCATGGATTCCTCTTGGTCACATACGTAACATAAACTTTCTTTGGAGTATTTATGGGACCAAGTCAGGGAATCCAGCAAGATCACCCTGACCTGCAAAATAAACATTGTGAAGACATGCAATACTGTAGGGTTTTTACTTTTTAGGGGGAAAACTGGAAATGTAAAGCCAAAAAAATCTCACCATGAAATGGAGAAGAATAGTTTTAAATAGTATTATCCATAAAGTTTCTGATTTTGCATTTGAAAAGTTTTGTTCTGTAATTCTCTTATCTTTTTATGTGCTACAAGTTTAAGTTTGCTCAGGAGACAAATTTAACTGGGCTCAAAGGTTCCCTTAGCTGTAATGCACGTGCTCCTTGGCTATTTTGCTGAGCTGTCCAAGTACAGAAAAAGACTTGTGACTGCATTTCTTACTGCCTCCAAGGAACATTATGTCAACTACCACCAGAACACGACTTAGAAAGGCTCTTCCTTATAACTGTGTTATTTTTTCTCATGTACTTTAATCCTCACTTTAACTTCTCTTCATTGTGGGTTTTTTTGGATTTATTATTTTACAGGATGTTCACATATTACCTTTTACAGACCTATGAATATCTAATCTCATCTCTACAGTAACTCTCAGTCTCCTTCCTACTGGCAGTGAAATGCAGCTGGCAAAGACAGGAGCTGCCACAGCAGCAGAGCTGGATCCTGGCATGAGCAGTTTTAGTGGGAAACGACTGATGCAAGACTACAGGTCTGGACATGGCAAAGCAGCAAAGCCCCAGTTCTGAGGAGGTCCCGAGTAAAGCAAGAGATAAAAGAGCAGCACAAAAATGAGGACAGAATTCAATCTGCCCAACATCAAACACATCAGTACTATCAGAAGCCATAGCAGCTGTAAAGCAGCCTGGACTTACATTTCAGTGCTGTCATTAACATACCCAAATATTTCAACAGCCTTCAGTGTGGATAATAATGAATTACAGAGAATCAAAAATTTAAGAAGAGTGAAGGAGGCTTCAAGGCAACTACAAGATGGCAATTATATTCCTTTATGAACTTTCTGAAGTATTTCAGATCTCATTTTCAAATAAACCACTTTAAATAAAATCATGAAATATCTAGTATTTGTTATGAGAAAGAGTTGGAAAATATTTCTTGCTGTGTCTAAGACAGAAACACCCTGAAGTTTTTCATATACCAGATTTCTTTTAGAGGAAAGAGAGAGAAGAAAATACACATATTTTTTAAATTATTAAGAAGATAAATATAACTCCCCATAGAAGAACCTAGGTATTAAAAATTTCTTTCAACAACAAATTCTGTGTTTGGCATGAGTAAAAAATGTCTTTAATATTACTCTACTGAACAAAATGAAATGTTTGTGCCAGGTCTCTGAGTTTTGTAAGGCCTGCTTACTTGGTGAAAAGAGCCTGTTACCATGGTTACAGCCGTAAAAACTTAAGCCTCAGTGAGATATTAACATTCCTCACTCTTGGAAAGAAAAAGGTTTCCTTTTTTTAGGCAAGTGACCCTTTCTCTTTTCCTAGGTTCTCCCCCTTTCTTTTACATGCTAGAAAAGAATCAGAAATAAATCCTAATCTTGTGTAAATAGTTGAAGATGTGAAGCCTGACTAGTACATTGTTTCTGTACCAAAGCATCTTCTTTTAAAGGCAAGACTCCTTCCAGTTGTACCTAGTCCTTAACAAAATGAAAGTAAATTACCAAAAGCAAACAAATACTATGGATTTCAAGTAACCTGCTTCTAAAATTTAACAACCATGAAATAAAGCTGTTCTTGTTTTAATGGTGACCTGAGAGTGTCTTCCACATGGATAAGCCTGGGTTTGTTTTTTAGCAGCACTATGCATTTCACACTATTAGTTAAATAGTGCGCAGCTGCCCCTCCCACCCCCAATTTATTAAAGATCTGTTCAGTCTCCAGCTACCCCAACACTGACAAATGCATGCTAAACCAAAAATTAATCTGACATATCCCTAATGGCACAATGGAATTCACAACTGGAACTCAGTTTTAGGTTCAGTTTCCTGAAGTGCAAAGGTGAACAGACATCAGAATTCTAAAATAAAATAATAAAAAAAAAATCCTGCTTGTGTGTTCTGCCAAACCAAAACTAGTTTATACACAATTGATACAACACTTTAGTAAGAACAAGACTTTAGACAGAGCTAATGTTTATAAAAACGGAAAATATGCTACACAACACAATGGTATTAGCAAAAACATTACTAACTACCTTAAGTATCAGAATTAACAATCTCTGTGATTATTCTTTGATTTAAGAAACTGTAACTGACTTAGTTTCTTGATCATCAACTACTAAAAGAAGTCAGTTTTGAAAAGACTGATAACCCAGTAGTGGAGGGGAGAAAAAAGAAGAAAAAGTTACAGGAATATGAGTAATAATTCTCAACATTGCTCAACTCCAGCTGTATCATTTGCCCAAAAGAGAAAAATTCCCTCTAAAAACCTTGTCTGCCTTTTGTCATTACCAGTCCAATAGTTCTAATATTACAAGCTGCACTGTCAAAACAACACAGTTCATGCTAGAGGTATTAAAATACTAAAAATATTTATAGTAAGGGTTATGCTGTGTTTCGAGTTTTCCTTCCTAATTTGCCCTAAACTAAGACACTGTGTTACTTCAGTATTGCTACATCTGACAACTGTTTAAAAACAGATGTAAAGCCTATGGTCAGGAGAAATGACAGTAAATAAAGCCAGGGGCCTCTACCAGATTGCAGATGAATTCAGTGCACAAACTCTCAATTTATTTGCATGTTTCAACAGGGGATAAAAATCAAACTTTCTGAAACAGAACTGGGCTTTTGCATAAGATCATTTTGAGGAGACTGTAAGAAGCCTGAGTTTCTTTCCACTTCAAACAGGACGTGTAGTGAAAACCAGAAATTGTCCAAATTTTGTGTTCCAGTGTTTCCAAAGCGTGACTTTTAAGAGATAACTTCAAAGACACAAACTTGGAAGAAATATTTTAACAATTCCTACCTGTCTACTTATTCCCAGAAAGTCCAGAATGACAAAAACATTGGTTACACAGCTCCAGTACAAAATGTGAGCACACTGTTCTTCCTTTGTCCTGCTGTTTTTCCTCAGAACACAGATGTGATCTTCCAGCTTTACTGTCACTCAACAGCTTCTTCAAAAACCAATTGACTTTTATTTCTATTTTACATTTTAGGAAGATTTTGTGCTAAAAACCCCTGAACATAAACTAACCAAAACAAGCAAAAGAAAATCCATTTAAAGAGATTTGCTTGTAATCACCTGCAGTGGGTGTGATTCATATTAGCATGCAAATGAATAGGGGATCATAAAATCATACACCTGTCTGACAGCTCACTAAACATATTGCTTTAGCCCTTTGAGTGAACATTTTAGTGGGAGTTTTTAGCTCAAATCAAAACTTCTGAAACCTCTGTTTTGATTTGATCATTGAAGCAATATCAAAAAGGTATTTATTTTCTATTTCAGGGTCTATTTTACTGAACTGAAAGATATGCATTTACTTTTAAAATCTTTATGCAATAAATTTTTAATTTATTTTTTCTTAAAACCCATCTCCTGAAGATAAATCAGATATCAGAAAGCCATAGTAAAGTTGTAAGCATTAGTAACATTGTGTATACTACAATTAAACAAAATTCTTTTGCTTTTGCAGAGTAGAGCACACAAGTGCTAAGCCAAGTTCCTCTTTCCTTGGACATATAAACAAATTCTACAGAGCCCAAAGCAACAGGGCCAAATTCAAGTTGGAATGAGTTTTCAAACAGAGCTCTAGAAAACAATGTGAGTTTTTTCCATTGCAGTGCAAATGGCTATGAAGACACTTTTCAAACTAAAAATCAGAAGGTGCCTGCAATAAGAACCAAACTCTCACAAAATCACTATTAAGCTACATACCACCTCCAGGCTGAGAGGAATCATTGGTTCCAATGATTACTGAAACACCAACTTCCTCCAACTTGATCTTCCATTCTTCAATTATTTCAGCTGAACCATCCTAGAAAAAATAATGACTTAGATACAGCTATTTTAATTGGTGTGTTGAAGTGAACCAAAAAGTCTTGTTAGAGACATTATTTACTTGGACAGTATTTTAAAGAAGGTCTGAAACTCACCTTACTGGCATCATTAAAAATTGACAGCTCCATGGTTCCCTTAAAATCTTGTTCCCAAACTGACTTTAGGCATTCATCTAACCAGCATTCACTGTTGTGAACAGGCACAATGATAGACTACAAAAAAACAGAGATCCACATGCATGTCAGGAAGCATGTTTTTGTTTACTTACAGTATATTTATTAAAAAGGAGAAGTAGCGGATCCTTCCGAAACTAACTTTCAACAAAAAATGCATCTTAAAAATATAAAGGTCGGCGAAGAACCTTTCTTTTCTTTACAAAAACACTATTTGCATTCCTCTCTCAAGCTTATTTTTAAATAAAGTTCTGTAAGATGGTTCTTGGTAGAAGAGGGACCACTGAAGCAAACCCACAAATGAAACATCTGTAACACCACCCTAACCTCATTCTAGTATTCCTGCACTTCTTAAGACACTCCTCACTTTTCTCTTCTATGAATACATCTTACTCATCTATTTATCTTCAAGCCTAATTGGAGATGCTCACATATGCAGCTGGACCCTCAGGCTGCAGCCAAGTTTTTAAAAATTATTCCACCTACAACTGCTCTAAAGCACCCTGGAAGTTGGTGATGCAGTTCCATATTCTGCCATTCCAGCTGCAGGTTTTCCTCCTGCAGCCTCTCTCGGTTCTGATGTGCACCCAAAGCAGGAAAATATACCTGAAATATTGTAAAATTGGTTAGAAAACAGAGAGGAGGGCTTTATCTGTTCAGTTACCACTCTTCTAATCACCCCTAAAAAGCTAACAATCCCCAAAATTCTTTCAGTGTCTCAAAATAGAACACTTTTCCTTCACAGCATGCAAAGGCCTGGGAAATCATCCTGGTGATAACCTGGCTGTGCTTGCAAAGGGAGAGCCCAAGTCTGTACCTGTTAAAATTACTTCTAGATGGGGAACTTAAGGGCCTAAGTAACTCCTAAAAAGTCTCATGGGACATTTCAAGAAGTCCCTAGAAACACAACTTAAACTCCTCATTATGTGGGGTTTACAAAAAAAAAAACGCATGGCTGGAAGAAAGAGAGGATTTGTTCCTATTGTGAGCAGGAGAGAATCCTAAGAAACAAAATTCTGGGATACTGAAATGGAATTATACACAATTTAGTGCCACGTGAACACATGTGCATTGTGCAAATACACACAGGTGCACACATCAGAAGGCAGGGTTTTGGACACTGAAGGATGTACACACAGCCAAATAAAATAGTAAACATCTAAAATGGATGAACCTCCAGATTTTTGGCAGGATGATGGGAACAGTTCTTAAAAGAAGTAGGATAAAAGCACTCTGAAATAAGGGAGAAACAAAAAAAACCAACAAAAAACTGATTACCCAGTAATTAAAACATACATAAAAAAGATTATTTCAGAACTGTGTCAGATCAGTACTTTGAGACTAAAAAAAAAAGCAAAAAATCTGAGATTCTGAAGTGCTACATTAAATTTACTCAAGATTTTCATATTCTTTATGTAGACATGGCAATTCAAATATGACCCTACACATTCATACCAACGAATCTAACATATTCAATCAGGAAAAAAGGGTTCCACAATTCTTCCAATGACAATATAAACTTGTGCAGTTTTGCACATCCAGAAAAATCAGTTATTTTTCAATTTGTTTTCTGATTCACTTAGTAAAAATTTGACTAAGCCATCACCATCTAGCACACCATTGGTTTGAAAACTGGAACTTCTTTGCTTTTCTTCCGTGGTGTACTCCTGTTTTAAGTCAGGGCAGCAGTGCAAAATAGCAAGATGATGTTTGACCTCCCTGTTTAGTTTGAACTGAAAGTAGAAAAAAGTACTTCAAGGGCAGCACATATTAAACAACCCATAAATACCTGATGGCTCTGAGGCGCTCTGAACTGAGCTGCTCATGATATATTAACATGCTCCTGAACACATTACTGTGAGCAAATTCTACTTCCACAGAACCAGGACCACAGATAGATACAGAACTGGACACCTGCCAAACTAAGGCCCAGAGCTCAACTGCTGATACTTCTGTGTAAAACCTGAAAAATTAACAAATCCACACAAATAACTGTATTCAGCAATAGGACAAACACCTCAGAGTATTGCTGATGTTGTATACCAGTTTTCTTGTATTCCAACCATTCTTGCTCACCTCACTGGTTTTCTGTGTTTAGTTTTAGTTTGAGGATGCATCAAAAATCTAGACTTTCATTTCTTCCTCGCTCATTACTAGAACTGTACCCTGGCTTAAGAGTTGCAACTGGGCAGTCATAAATTGGCTTTTCATGACGTGTGACTGTCTCAGAATAATTCAATCTCCTTGGACCATTTAAAGAGGGGAAAATCATGAACCAGGGCACTACTTTACCTACAGGTGTAGTCTCATAGCAAAAATACCAGCTGGTAGTAACCTCCAGAGACTGTGGCTGCTTCTTCTGTCCCAAAACAAGATCAACTACAGCTCTGTCATTGCTGACAAACCCCCTCTCCGTGGACAAACACCAGCATTGCTAAGGGAAACATAAAAAGCAGGCATAAGGCAGACCTAGAATGGTTTTCCCAGTGTCTTTTTGTGACAGTTTATGCCAACTCCTACTTCCCAATCCCAGCACAGATGATTATTCCAGTTCTCCTTGCAGCAACCCTTCCTGTATTTGAAGACTGCTACCAAAACAGTGAACTACAAGAGAGCATAAAGCTCTCTCAAAGTAATTTTGAGTATTGGGGACATAGACTGCAAATATAATGTGCTTTTAGCATTACAAATCATCTGAGTGGCAATCTGAGTGATGTGAGTCAGAATTACCTTTTCATTAGCTGAGGCTGATTTACAGCAGAAAGAAACAGAGGAGTTTCATGGCCTATGACCCAAATATGACTCTTAAAACAGAGCTATGAATCAAAGCTGGACTTGAGCATTGTGACACTACCTGGATTTCCCTGAACTCCACACATTCTAGACAAGAATTCCATCTATTTTTGTATTTTCATATCTCCATTTATATAGCTATATAGGCACAGATAGAGATAGATGTTGTATATTTAACTTTATTTATGTGTTTAATTTATACATATGTGCACATTTATTAAAAATATATAAATATAAATATAAAAATGTGTATCTATAACATATAAAACATATTATATATAAATATATGTTTCTTATATATAATTCCATATAATTATATGTAATTATTATATAATTATTCATCAAGTATATAATTATTATATAATTATATATTATATATGTATTATTATATATAAATATACAAGTTTATTTATAAATATAAAATAAATGTCTTTTTATAGAAATAGAAATATAACGATAAACATATACACTATATATGTACATAGGATATATATACACACACACACACTATATATATATATACAAGATATAACTAACTAACTAACTAAATAAATAAATAAAGGTACGGGAAGTAACAAAAGCAGGAAGTGTAGGAAGATTTTACGACTTTCATTACCAACCCCGTGTAGCCGAACGCGCCGAGGCACCGAGCCCTCCGGGAGAGCCCTCCCGGGCCAGCCCCGGCCCCGCCCGAGCTGCCGTGTCCGCAGCGGGCAGCCCCGGCCCGGGACACCCCGGCCCGGCCCCGCCTGTCACGTACCACCTGCACGGGGGCCTCGGGGCTCCCACCGGCTCTCCCCGGCTCCGCCATCGCCGCCGCCCCTCAGGGAGGAGCGGGAGGAACAACCACAGAGACGGAGGCGGGAGCGGCCGGAAGAGGCTCTGCTGGCGGCGGCAGCCGAGCCTCGGCCCCGGCCCCGGCCCCGGCCCCGGCCCCGGCCCCTGAGGGAAACCCCGGGCCTGGCCCGTGAGGGAAGCCCCGACCTCGGCCCCGGCCGCGGCCCGTGAGGGAAACCCTGGCCCCGGCTGTGGAGTCACTCGTACTGAAAATCACGCTATGAAAAACCAGTGTCCGCAAAGGAGACAGAGGAGTCCTGCACCTTTATTCGAATAAAGGGGGAGAGGCCACCGGGGCACACACCCGCCGGATTTTCTCTCGAGGTGTTGGGGGAGGCAGCCTCCTTTTATTCCGAACTCCCGGCCGCATGTTGCCCTCTTCCTTTCCCAGTGCTGAGGTTCTAGGAAAGTACAGCCTTCCCGAAGCGCCTACCACATATTCCCCCCGCTTAAACTTATCATTTTCCCCTTAAGTTCAAAAGTTCAGGCTTGTGCCGACCCATTTGTCTGTTTCAGGAGTCAGGCTGTCCGGGCTCTGTAGCAAACCTGCTGCTTTGATTTAATAGACACATTAAATCCATTTCAAAGTCGTTAACACCCATACCTTCACTCATCGGATTGTTAAGACATTAACACACATCTTCCCTCTCACACTGATTCCTCAATAGATGCTGCACTCACTTCCCCACCTGTTCTCTAAGATCAATCCTGTAAATTTTCAGCAGTGTTATAATGCTTTTTCAAAGTTATTTCCCACACTGAGGTATGGTGGCTGGTAGTAGCTTACTTGAGCTGAAATTTGTGGAAACTGAAACAAATTTTTTGCTTTGGAGTTGTTCATGGTACATAATCCTGGAGAATGATAATAGTAATGCCAATGTTCTCTAATGTCTCCAGTCTGGGCTTTTGTTGGTCTGAACTACTGTGTTCAGTGCTTTTTTACTAAAAAAGTTTCTAATAGGCTTTAAATAGGGAAAATTGCTGGTGGTAATGATGCCATTATCATAAAATCGTGGAATGGAATGGACCTTAAAGCTCATCCAGTTCCACCTGCTGCCGTGGGCAGGGACACCTTCCACTACCTCAGGTTGCTCCAAGCCCTGCCCAACCCAGCCTTGGACACACTTCTATGGATGGGGCAGCCACAGCTTCTCTGGGCAATCTGTGCCACCCCACCCTCACAATAAGAAATTAGTTCCTGATATCTAACCTGAATTTCCCCTCTTTCAACTTGTATTCGTTACTCCTTGTCCTGTCACTGCAATTCCTGACAAAGAGTCCCTCTCCAACTTCCTTGTAGGCCCCTTCAGATACTGGAAGGCATTTCAAAATATACTGGAAAGTATTATTGATCATTTGTTAACTGAAATTATACTTGTGCAACTACTTACTCCCTTGAAAGTAATCACAGCTAAAAGGGATTGCAACGCCAGGCCCTGTACAACAACCTATTCAGAATTTTTAAAATTTGCACAAAGCAATCTTTGTTAAGCAAAATCCTGAGATTATCCCTTGTTTATTTGAAGAGCCTGTTAAACAGCCAGACAATTCAAGGAGCAAACAGAGCAGAGTTATCTTAAAATGTTGGTTGGCACACAAGTCCAAGAATTTAGGAGGTGAGGAGGACAGCCAAGCAATAATTCACCCTCGGAATCTATTTCAAATTATCTGCACAGCTTCTCACCATCCAGCCTGAGTTTAATCTCTCCATGAACAGCGCTGTTAAATATGATCATTCCTGCTTCTGGCGACAAAGGCTGCTGGCACTGTTATGTTGCCTGTGTGCCTTGCTTTATCTAAGAAAGTGTAGCAGAGTATTGCTTTACTCACCCTAAACCAAACAAAAGTCCTAGTCAGGGACAGCGCCTCATTAAGTGAAGCAAAATGCAGAGCAAAGCCCTTGCTGCCTTCCCCGAGGAAAATACAGAACCAGTCAAACCCACCAGAAATGTTTTCTAAGTTATATTATGTAGCTGACCACAGGGAGTAATTAAATACAAACTTCTGCTTAGAATGTGATTTTTGTTTGGGGTGGGTTTGGAAAGACATTTATAGGCCCACAAGCATGTGGAACCTCTTCAGTGGGATTGTCAGGGCAGCTAACATCCATTGTGAGAGTTCTTACCTACCGTCTTTTGAAATTCCAGCAGGCATTGCTGTGTCCTTGGGCAGCTTGGGAAATGAAATAGTTTCCAAAATATAGTCAACTGTTTCACTGCCCATTCCGCTTTCATGTGGGTCAGAATGGAAAGAGATCTCCCAGCACTATTGCAACAAACTCATTAAGGAACGAGCAAAGATGGTTTGGTCCTAGTTCTACTTCCAGCTTCTCAGTATTATAGATTTTTCACAGTGTGGGGGGCAGCTCACAAAGCAGTCCTCACAGCTGAAAGCATTGCAAATTCAGACATTTCTCATCAAATTTTATTTCCGATAAAATAATCTTTTGAGGAGTATTACTGTGAACCTAAGACTTGCAATTTCTGGAGGCTTTAGCTATCAAATAGAAATTTTCCTCATCTTAATGGAAAAACATTATCTAGAAAGTTGGTTGTGTGTTTTGCATTTAGCTGTCATTTCTAAAATGACTCAAATTCAAAGTATGGACAGCATGGACCCACTGACTTGTGAGAGCAGATCTCAGCTGATTTCACTGGAGTTTAAAAGGAGATTTACAAAGCAAGACTGCTTGTGCAGACTATCAGTGGGGTTATTGAGGCCGAGTAGTCTTGGGTTTAGTTTCTTTTTGAAAAGCTCAAACAGTAACTGGGGTGGTAAAAATGCATCTGTACAAACAAATCTGTTGTGTTGTGGAGAATGGGGGCAACTTAAATTGGTTGTATTGGAAAGACAGAATGAATGAGTATAGAGTGTTCTTTTAACACATTTGTCACTGAAGTTACAAGCTGTAATACTGAAGTATTTCCAGAATACACTATGTTGAAAGGATCATTCAACAGAGTAGGTAAAAAATTCAGCTCAGAGCAACTTTTGAAACCACTTCTATTCAAAGAATGCTTTGAGCTTCCAAAAATGTTCTGCTATTTTCATAAAATGTCACAGTTGAGTGGCAAGAGAAGAGGGGGGCAATATTTCTTATTACAGTACAAAACAGCAGAAGGGGACTTGAGAGTCCCCTTCTCATCTAGTCCTGGCATCCTGAGACAGGATCAACTCACAAACCCCTGCTGGTCTATGAGGCCTCATAATATCCTCAGCCACTTTATTGCAGTCCTTGCTATCTTTGCCTGAAAGAAGAATTCTTTAATATCCAGATTAGATAATGCAGCGTTTTCCAAGCCCCCTGAAACCTGGCCAGCTAAGATCTTTTCCCTCTGGTTAAAAGATGCAGACTTCTATGATCTCCCCAGTTTTAGAGCTATTATATAGAGATGAAGCTGAGCTTATAGCATAACTTAGGTCTTTTATACAGATATTTTTTGCTCTCTCTCTCACCTTGTCCCTCCATAGTGTTCAGCTCCCACGGCATACCTCCTCACTTTGAATCCTCTGTTAGTAACAGCATCTTGATTTTTTACCTTAGGCAAGAATTATCCTACTTTGCTCCTACCTTAGTAAATCTGGCACTTTGTCTGCATTTTAGACCAGATGTGAAAAGTTTTGCTGGGCTATTAAAAAGAAAAAAGAAAACAACAAGACCCTTACCACCCTAATAGCTTTTTTGCAGGCCTAAAAAAAGATTTATAATCAAAACCCCTGACTAAATACTAACAAGGCCAATAACCTGCCCAAAGACTAGAATCTCTTTGAAAGGATGCAGGCCCCCATCCCTTCAGCCTGTATCTCCACCCTAAGAGGCTGCTGAGCCCCCTCCTCCAGGGGTCCCCTGATAGCCCTCTCCCAGTGGCTTTATCCCCTGCAGCTGTGTGCCTTCTCAGCTGCTTTCTTGCTAATGCCTATGTTAACCCTTTCTTTGCCTTAGGAGGCTTGCAAATTCCATCACAAATCCTTTAGTCCTTCCCCAGCCTGCACACATAAAATCCCTTTATGGATTTATGATTTTATGAATTTGCGAATTGCTGTTGAGTTTCCCTCCCATCCCATGCTCTGGTTTAGGTTATGGACATCTGATTTGTTCAGTGATGTTTTAGACCTTTGTTTATTCTCCTGGCTCTGCTCTGGATGCTCTCTGAGCACTTTGGATCTCTGCTGGAGAATAGGCCCCAGCACCAGTCCTGGTGCTCCTGCTGGGGCTGGACCAGAGCAGGATTACTTCCCATATCTTGCAAGCCATACTCCTGTTTGCACAGCTTAGTGCAGTGTTTGCCTTTTTCACAATGGTTTGACACTGTTAACTCCTAATCAGCTTGTGATCTATTATATCCCCTAGATCTTTTTCTGTATGAGGGAAACAGTATTTTAGCAGTTTTATTCCAGTCAGCCACATGAGAAGAAAATGACTGAAGTAGTGTGAGTGAGATTATCTGCTTTGCGCTTCAATACCAGGATTGTTTACTGGTTTCCAATTAGTTACATGTGTACACCCTGTTAAGGGAGTTGCACAAGGGCTGCTAATGCCTTCCTTTGGCCTTCAGAGCATTTATTACTAGCAGGGACTAGTACCTAATAGTTATTTGGGCCAATTTCCCTGTGTACTCAAGACTTCAAATGCTCAGCTGAAATTACCGGCCTAATTGCTCTTACAATTTAGACATATTGAGTTTGGGTAACCTCACTGAAAAATGCTGCTGCTCCTTAGAGAATAAGTGTTGTGTGGTACATTTATTTCTCTGAAACATTAGCTGTCCTTAGAAAGGATGTTGCTTGTTTTTTCTTTCTTCTTTTCAAATGAGTCAACCTGAAGAAGCCGGTGGTTGTTTTTATGAGGTGGCAAATACCACAAATATTCTGTTAGCTGGAGTACTGAACTTGGGTACCTTTGTGGGTGAACTAGAAAGATCCCATTCATTTCAGTACCAGTCCACACCTCCAAACATAAACCCTCCTTGACCA